CGGGGAAAAACCTTAGGCAAAGTTTCTTTACTCCACACGCACACACACGCCTGTTTACCAGCAGTAAGTAGGAACCGAATATACAAATCCGCAACAGTGTGGGGCACTGCTGTGCACAATTAGCTGTTGCGTTTCGCCCACAAAACACAACAGTCACTCCATTTTGCAATATACCCTTGAAGCGCTTTGAGACAAAAGATTGCAACGGGATATAGGTGCAAAAAGATTGCAACAGGATATAGATGGGCGAGAGGAGGGGGCGAGTCGGTGGCAGATGGAATTTAATGTGGGGAAGTGTGAAGTTACTCACCTCGGTGGTAAAAATAGAAAAACAGATTATTTTCTAGAGAAGGAGAGATTAGATAGTGTTAGTGTTCAGAGGGATTTGGGTGTCCTCGTACACCAGTCTCGAAAAGTTAGTTTGCAGTGCAGCAGCAACTAAGAAGGTGAACGGCAGTTAGCGTTCATTGCAAAAGGTTTAGAGTACAGGAGAGGGAAGTCTCACTGCAACTGTATAGGGCTTTGGTGAGACCGCACCGAGAGTATTGTGTGCAGTTGTGGTCCTTATTTAAAAAAGGACATACTTGCCCTCGAGGGGGTGCAGCGTAGATTCACTCGGTTAGTTCCTGGGATGAGGGGACTGACCTATGAGGAGAGGCTGAATAAACGAGGGCTGTATTCTCCAGAGTACAGAAGAATTAGGGGGATCTTATTGAGACATATAAGATCTTAAAGGGCTGATAAAGTAGTCACTGAGGTTCTGTTTCCCCAATAGGAGAATCTATAACCGGGGACACAGCCTGAAAATTGAGGGTCAGCCTTTGAGAACAGAGTTGAGGAAACATTTCTTTACTCAGAGGGCAGTGAGTTTATGGAATTCACTCCCCAGAAGGGCTGTAGATGTCAGTCCTCGAACATCTTCAAGGCTGAGACTGAGAGATTTTTAAAAAGAGAGGGATTGGGGGATTGGGGATAGAGCGGGTAATTAGAGTTCGGTCAGAAGATCAGCCACGATCTTATCGAATGGCGGGCAGCTCGAGGGGCCGAATGGCCGACTCCTGCTCCTAATTCTTATATTCTTATGAGACGTCTCAAAGACATAATAAGGCGCAGTATCAAATGTGAGGATGATGAGGATTATAATTAAATGACAGCTCACTGTTTCCCCACACCTTTCACTGACGTCTTTCACCCGGTTGATGCTTGAGAAAAGGATTTCCTTGTCTCGTAAAATGATGGTTTCGTTGAGCTCTTTGGAGTTCTCGAAATGATCGACTAATACGTTCAGACTCTTCAGATAGGAAGCCTCGGATGTCAGTACTTCAAACATACTCTGCAAAGCAAAGCAATCGCTCCGAGTCAGTTCAGCTCCAGAACAATATCTCGTTGAATCCCGGAGCGTAACGGTTAGAGCACTCGCCTCGCAAGCGAGAGGACCCGGGTTTGATTCCCGGGTGGGTCCCGGGTGAAACCTGAGGCAAGTTTCCTCACTCCACACACGCCTCTGTTTACCAGCAGCGTGTAGGAACCCGCTTGTCACTGCTCGAGGCGTGTGCCTTCGTGTGGATTGGACACCGCGCCTTGTCAGGTTTACGAGACGTCCCAAAGCGCTTCACGGAATACACTGCAAAGTGCAGTGACTGTGTATTTTGTGGGTGAAACGCGGCGGCCAATTGCGCTCAGCGACGTCCCCACTAACAGTGGAGGATTGAGTGACCGGATTTTTTTTTGTTTGTTTGAAGGAATTATCACCGACCGGAAAAGCAATCGGCCGCTCGACTGACAAGCGGGTAAACGGAGACGTGTGTGCGCGTGGAGGAAGGAAACTCCGACCACATCCATTCGCGTGCCTGCGGCACCTCACCTCTTGTAGTTTACGTTCTTCCCCGCTCATTGTCCCCAGGACCCCGCTCTCCCTGACCGTCCGCAGGTTCTGCCACAGTGTGTTCCGGGGCAGTTGGGGGTTTGAACCCCAACCGGAAGAGCTGAACTCCTCGGGAATGGAGGTGATGCTCTCATACTCGCTGTCGGTCTGGCTGGAAGCTGCCTCCGCAGTCTGACATTTGATCTCCTTCAAGATAATTGTCTGGCGGTACGTCTGATACAGAGGCTCTGAATTTCAGGGAAAGCCAAGGCACAGAGGTAAGTGAAGGCCTGTAGGGTGTTGGCTGTACAATAATGTGTCATACAGCGCCTTATCATGTCTTCGAGGCGTCTCAAAGCGCTTCACAGGATACACTGTCAGGTGTAGTGCCGGCGTTTTATGTGGGGGAAACATGGCAGCTAATTTGCGCACAGCGACGTCCCACAAACAGTCACGGAGTGAATAAAACACCAATTTTATTTGGTGGGTTGTTGGCCAGGACATCGGGGGAGAGAGAGAGAGAGACAGAGAGAGAGAGAAACTTTTTGATAGCACAGTCGGGCATTGAGGTTTAACGTCTCATCCGAAAGACGACGTCTCTGACAATGAAACGCGCCCCCAGGGCTGCATTGGAGCATCAGCTTAGACTTTATTGTAAGATAATAACTGTTCCTCACCTCCTTTAAACTCAGTTTGCCAGTTGATCGGCTTCGAATCCTTTGTTGATCTGCAATCAGGAGAGAAGGAGAAACTCATTGGGAATTCAATCACACACACGCGCTCCCTCGGTCTCTCTCTCTCTCTCTCTCTCTCTCGGTCACTGTCTCAAAAAATTATTTGGACACTCAATCCATGACTGTTTGTGGGGACGCTGCTGTGCGCGATTGGCTGCCGCGTTTCGCCCACAAAATATACAGTCACTACACTTCACAGTATATCCTGTGAAGCGCTTTGAGACAACATGAAAAGGCACTACATCAAATGCAAGGATTATTATTACTGATCAAATCTCTCCACAATCCCCTTCAAGGAGAATTACTGTTAAGTGTAGTGACTGTGGGGGTTCTCTTTTGGTGGGGGGGGGCATTTATCCACACAGCAATAATTTGTCTTGGCCGGCCGGGTGTCTGACACACACGGAAACCCGTCACCGTGACCGGTCGGGTGTCTGACACACACGGAAACCCGTCACCGTGACCGGTCGGGTGTCTGACACACACGGAAACCCGTCACCGTGACCGGTCGGGTGTCTGACACACACGGAAACCCGTCACCGTGACCGGTCGGGTGTCTGACACCCACGGAAACCCGTCACCGTGACCGGTCGGGTGTCTGACACACACGGAAACACGTCACCGTGACCGGTCGGGTGTCTGACACACACGGAAACCCGTCACCGTGACCGGCCGGGTGTCTGACACACACGGAAACCCGTCACCGTGACCGGTCGGGTGTCTGACACACACGGAAACCCGTCACCGTGACCGGTCGGGTGTCTGACACACACGGAAACCCGTCACCGTGACCGGTCGGGTGTCTGACACACACGGAAACCCGTCACCGTGACCGGCCGGGTGTCTGACACACACGGAAACCCGTCACCGTGACCGGTCGGGTGTCTGACACACACGGAAACCCGTCACCGTGACCGGTCGGGTGTCTGACACACACGGAAACCCGTCACCGTTGCTTAAGGGTCTCCAAACCCGACTGAGAATTCCCCACATCGCCCCCACACCCGGAAACCCCAGAGAGAGATCGTTGGGATGGAATGCACTCTCTCTCTCTCTCTCTCCCCCTGGAGGGACGCCCTCTGATTACCTAATTCCGGAGAGTATTAGGCGCAGGTTGGCGAGAGCCAAGGCTTTGGGGGGAGCCCAGAGTGTGTGTTGGGGGGTAACTGTTGGGGTCTAACCAACTAAACCCACACACAGCTCAGCCATCGAGAGAGAGAGAGAGAGAGCGCTGTGTGGCCGAGCTTTCCCGCTGCTTGTCCAGCGAGGACCCCCCTCCCCGTTAGCAGTGTTGTCGGGTGTTTGACCAAATCGTCCTGACTCTCCTCACATACCCCCCCAACCCCCCCCAGAGAGTTTCTGACATCGATAAGAAACAAAGAACCCAAATTGGTTTTCCTCTCTCCTAAACTCTGTCGAACCAACTGTAACTGGAGTCCTATAGTGTAGTGGTTAGAGGACCCGGGTTCGATTCCCGGAGCAAAACTTCACAGAACAGCACAGAAGGAGGCCATTCGGCCATTGTGTTGTGCCGACTCTTTTGAAAAGACCTTCCAAATCAACCTTACTCTTTGACTGTCTGTGGGACATTGCTGTGCGCAATTGGCTGCCGCGTTCGCCCACAAATATACAGTCAATTCACTTTACAGTGTGTTCTGCGAAGCGCTTTGGGACGTCCTCCCGACGTGAAAAGCGCTATATCGAATGCGAGGATTATTATTATTATTATTATTACTCCACACACACGCCTCTGTCTACCAGCAGTGAGTAAGAACCCGTTTGTCAGTCGATTGGGGGGGAATAATCCCTCCAAAAAAAATTAATAATTCAGTCATTCAACCCACGGCTGTTTGTGGGACGCTACTGTGCGCAATTGGCTGCCATGTTTCTCCCACAAAATATACAGTCCATTCACTTCACAGAGTATCCTATGAAGCGCTTTGAGACGTCTCAAAAACGTGATAAGACGCTGTATCAAATGCAAGGATTATTATTATTAATGCTAAATTAATAATCTGACCTTCTCTTGAGCCCCTCCATATGAACCTCGTAATCATCGTCCTCGCTTCTCGAGTCAACAACATCCTCTACGAACACAACACATTGTTATTCCCGACGTCAACAATAGAGGACATTTACACGGAGCCTTTCACGTCGGGAGGACATCCCAAGGCGCTGGACAGTCAGGGATTGGGATCTGAGCTGAGGGTTGGGATCAGGAGGAGGGCAGGGAGGGTGGAGTTAGGAGGGTGACCGAAGAGGAGGGTCTTGAACGAGGCAAGGCCTGGCTCATCGGCAGGACCTAGAAGGGCCGACCAGTGACTGGGGGCAGGGAATCCTGGGGAGGGGGGTCCTCGCTGGACAAGCAGCGGGAAAGCTCGGCCAGACAGCGCTCTCTCTCTCTCTCTGTCTCTCTCTCGATGGCCGAGCTGTGTGTGGATTTAGCCGGTTAGACCCCAGCAGTCACCCCCCAACGCACACACTTATGTTCCCAGGGGGTGAGGGGAGGGACTGTGAGATCACCGAGGCCCACAAAGCACATCGACACGAGGTCATTATGGCCACAAAGCCAACAAATCGGTACCTCACCCACTCACTGCGACTCGACACTGCATCAGGAGGGACTGTTATCTTCCGCGCCATTGAGACGAAGAGACACCACAAACCTCATTGAAGTCTGCTGTCATACAGGACAATAAAATTGCCCCAGTACCAGACCAACACATTGGGTGTCAGCCCAGATTAGTGTGTGTGTGTGTGTGTCAGCCCGGCTCAGTGTGCTTCAGACATGACCTGAAGATGGGGATGGAGGGGTTCGAGGCGGAGGGATAGAGGGAGGGAGTGACAAGAGTTTCAGGGCGTAGTGGCTGTTCCAACGCCATCTCCGCCCTCTCAGACCAGGCCTTCGGAGGCTTGGGGAACCTGAAGGATCTAGATCTTCAAGACAACCAGATCGAGGACATCTCGGGTCACGTCTTCGACCCTCTGGTTCAATTGAGGTTCCTCAGCCTCTCCTCGAATAGAATCCAAGTGCTGCCTCCAGGCTCAATGGACAGCTTGACGGAGTTGGAAAAACTTGACCTGTCTCACAACCGTATCAGCCTGATTTCCGAGGACCTCTTCGAGGAGCTTTTGTTGGCTTACATCTTCCTCCACCACAACCCCTGGCACTGTGGCTGTGAGGAGGTGAGATACCTCAGAGAATGGCTGGAGGACAACCGTGATTCAGTCTACAATGAAGACAACCAGCAGGACAGTGACAGCGTGGTTTGCTCCACCCCCCTCACCCAGAGCCAGAATCCGGTCCTGCAGCTCGATGCAGGACCCTGCCCGGCCAGGACAACAACGGGAATAGCCACCATGGCTCCTCCTCAGCTCACTGATGCACCACAATCTTCCACTCCACAGGAATGGCTCTCAACCCTGCCTGGCGAGCTTTGCGCTCAGGACACGGACTTGCTGGGAAGGGTTCAGCTTAACTGCAGCGACCGAGGACTTATGTCTGTCCCTCAGGCTCTCTCTCCAAACACAGAGGTCCTGATCTTGAGCCACAACTCTCTGACGTCCGTCTCCTTGAGCTCCTTGAAAGATCTCCCTCAACTCCGAAACCTGGACCTGTCCAACAACCAGATCGCCCACTTCCAGGCCGATTACCGGCTCCCGTTGGAGAGGTTGGATCTCTCCCACAACAAACTGAGCGTTATCCCGCGATTGTCCAGTCTGGCCAGGCTTGAGGGGCTTCAGCTCGCTTCCAACGCCATCTCCGCCCTCTCAGACCAGGCCTTCGGAGGCTTGGGGAACCTGAAGGATCTGAATCTGCAAGACAACCAGATCGAGGACATCTCGGGTCACGCCTTCGACCCTCTGGTTCAATTGAAGTTCCTCAGCCTCTCCTCGAATAGAATCCAAGTGCTGCCTCCAGGCTCAATGGACAGCTTGACGGAGTTGGAAACACTTGACCTGTCTCACAACCGTATCAGCCTGATTTCCGAGGACCTCGTCAAGAAGTCTTTGTTGGCTTACGTCTTCCTCCACCACAACCCCTGGCACTGTGGCTGTGAGGAGGTGAGATACCTCAGAAAATGGCTGGAGGACAACAGTGATTTAGTCTACAACGAAGACAACCAGCAGGACAGTGACAGCGTGGTTTGCTCCACGCCCCTCGCCCAGAGCCAGACTCCGGTCCCGCAGCTCGATCCAGGACTCTGCCCGGCCAGTACAACAACAGGAATAGGCACCATGGCTCCTACTCAGCTCACTGACGTACCACAACCTTCCACTCCACAGGAATGGCTCTCAACCCTGCCTGGCGAGCTTTGCGCTCAGGACACGGACTTGCTGGGAAGGGTTCAGCTTAACTGCAGCGACCGAGGACTTGTGTCTGTCCCTCAGGCTCTCCCTCCGAACACAGAGGTCCTGATCTTGAGCCACAACTCTCTGATGTCCGTCTCCTTGAGCTCCTTGAAAGATCTCCCTCAACTCCGAGACCTGGACCTGTCCAACAACCAGATCGCCCACTTCCAGGCCGATTACCGGCTCCCGCTTGAGAAGCTCAACCTGTCCAACAACCTGCTGACGGAAATCCCAGACCTCAAACGCCTCCCGAGCCTGAAGGAGTTGTCTCTCAACCACAACAAGGTCTCTGATGTGGCAGTGGAAAACTTTGTGGGCCTGAGGGAACTGGTTGACCTGAGCCTCAGCGGCAACCGCATTCAGGGCCTCCCGAATGGGGTCTTTGACGGCCTGGACACGTTGAGATTCCTGTCGCTGTCTTCCAATCAGATCAGCGTCCTGCCCGAGCTCCTCCTCAAACACCTGGACCTCGCGGGCCTGGATCTCTCGCGCAACAGGTTGACAACCATCCCCCAGGGCTTCTTCGAAGGCAAGAACCTCTCTTTCGTCTTCTTGCACAGCAACCGGTGGCACTGCGACTGCACCGTCCAATACCTGACCAGCTGGAGCGCGGAGAACAACGGGAACGTGTACACCGAGCGGGACATTCCCGATCCCAAGGGCTTTGTGTGCGCCTCCCCTCCGGAACTCCAGGGTACTCCGGTCGTCCGGTTCCCCGCGCGACAACTGTGTCAGGCCACGACGGAAACGGAGACCAGAGTCCACACAGCGCCCCTCACCCTGGGCAGCGTCTCAGAGCCCTGGACAACCCCGAACACAGAGGTAACAACCGACCGAGCTTTGACTGAGCCACCGAGGGAGACGGGAACCCCGACTAGTCCTGGTCAACTGACGCCCACCAACGACGGCACGACGGCAAGTCACGATGACCTCAGCTCCGTCCCTCCGATCGACCCTGATTGGGCTCGGAGAACCGGAGGCCTCGGGGGGTTGACCGGAAACCAGCTGAACTGCTTTGTCCTCCTTGTCCTGCACGTTCTCTCTCTGCTCCTCCTGCTGCTACAGATCACCGGTCTCCTGGTCTACATGGCTCGCTTTTACTGGAGGGTTTACAGGCCCCTCAGGGATCTGCCCGGGAAGAGGCTCGGCATCAGGTTGATCCGCTACAGCCTCCTCGTTCCTTACGTCCAGCAACTCTACCCGCCTCTCGACCACGACTCCGAGCTGGACGAAGGAAGCCAGGAGTGAGCTTCCAGCTTGGACCAGAAGGACGAGAGTTTAAGCTTTCCGGGCGGGTTGGGTTGGGTTGGGTTGGGTCAGGAGGAAACCTTGGGCAAGTTTCCTTACTCCCCACGCACACGCACAGACACGCAGACACGCCTGTGTTTATCTAGCACCCCGGTTCTCATGGTCTTGCTCCCCACAACCCAACCTGGCCCTGACCTGCCTGGCCATCAAACCTGGGTCCTCTTGCTTGTGAGCCATGGGGTCTAACCACGGAGCCGTAGGGCTCCAGCGCTTTTCGGGGGAGAGAGAGACCTCTCACACCCTCCCCCATACAACGCACTTTATTAGGGTGAGAAATCTCACTCGGTTTATCCGAGTTAATCCTCACCCTTCTGATACATGTTTGTAGCTCACGTTTCACTATAATTAAAGATTATTTGAAATGCAAAAAGGTTTTATTTACCAGGTCATTACTTTTGATTTACCCGTCACCGTGACCGGTCGGGTGTCTGACACACACGGAAACCCGTCACCGTGACCGGTCGGGTGTCTGACACACACACACGGAAACCCGTCACCGTGACCGTCGGGTGTCTGACACACACGGAAACCCGTCACCGTGACCGGTCGGGTGTCTGACACCACGGAAACCGTCACCGTGACCGGTCGGGTGTCTGACACACACGGAAACCCGTCACCGTGACCGGTCGGGTGTCTGACACACACGGAAACCCGTCACCGTGACCGGTCGGGTGTCTGACACACACGGAAACCCGTCACCGTGACCGGTCGGGTGTCTGACACACACGGAAACCCGTCACCGTGACCGGTCGGGTGTCTGACACACACGGAAACCCGTCACCGTGACCGGTCGGGTGTCTGACACACACGGAAACCCGTCACCGTGACCGGTCGGGTGTCTGACACACACGGAAACCCGTCACCGTGACCGGTCGGGTGTCTGACACACACGGAAACCCGTCACCGTGACCGGTCGGGTGTCTGACACACACGGAAACCCGTCACCGTGACCGGTCGGGTGTCTGACACACACGGAAACCCGTCACCGTGACCGGTCGGGTGTCTGACACACACGGAAACCCGTCACCGTGACCGGTCGGGTGTCTGACACACACGGAAACCCGTCACCGTGACCGGTCGGGTGTCTGACACACACGGAAACCCGTCACCGTGACCGGTCGGGTGTCTGACACACACGGAAACCCGTCACCGTTGCTTAAGAGTCTCCAAACCCGACTGAGAATTCCCCACATCGCCCCCACACCCGGAAACCCCAGAGAGAGATCGTTGGGATGGAATGCGCTCTCTCTCTCTCTCCCTGGAGGGACGCCCTCTGCTGACCTAATTCCGGAGAGTATTAGGCGCAGGTTGGCGAGAGCCAAGGCTTTGGGGGGAGCCCAGAGTGTGTGTTNGGGGGTAACTGTTGGGGTCTAACCAACTAAACCCACACACAGCTCAGCCATCGAGAGAGAGAGAGAGAGAGAGCGCTGTGTGGCTGAGCTTTCCCGCTGTGTCCAGCGAGGACCCCCCTCCCCGTTAGTTAGTTGGGGCTTTGGCTGTGGGGGTAACAGGAGCTGAGGGGGAGGATTCCCGGCCCCCAGTGACTGGTCGGCCCTTCCAGGTCCTGCTGATGAGCCGGGCCGGGCCGCCATCAGCAGTGAGTGCCCTGGGACGCTGCGGCCCCTCGTGGCTCAGGAACCGGGGACTAGAGACCGTCACAGAGAGGGGGGGGGGCTCGATCCCCACAATCCACTGCCAAACAAGCCAAGGGAGCGAAGGAGATCTACCAGAACAACAGTGATAATAATCCTTGCATTTGATGTAGCGCCTTATCACGTCTTCCAGACGTCTCAGAGCGCCTCACTGGGAAGTGTAGCGACTGTGAATTTTGTGGACGAAAAAGGGGGGCGTTATAAAAGGCGCCGATATATTTAACCAATATATTTATTCAATCTGTCGGATCACCTTTTCCAAATTCACATGACATGGTTTAAAAGCCAACATTATTGCCTCGTATTGCCAAGTGTGTACACATCGGGTCAGAATATATAGCATCGTACAGAACAGTTACATAATCCTTCGTCGCAGGGATTCCCGGTACAATACAATTAAGTCGAAAGCGCACAAAGTTCTCACTACAGAAGTCACGGGAATAGCCGCTAACACAGCTGCTCATTGATAGAACAATGTGCGTGTGTGACTGCACATTTGTGCGCGTGCGAGAGAGAGAGCGTGTGTGCGTGTCTGCATCCGAGGGTAAGTGAACGCACACACACGTGGTACGAGTGTATCTGAGTTGATGTGTGTGTGTGTGAGCGGGTGTGAGTGTGTATACCTGTGAGTGTGTGTATCTGAGTGTGTGTGTTTGCATGAGTGGGTGTAGGTGAGTGTATGAGGGAGTGTTTGTGTCGGTGACTGTCCGAGTGTGAGTGAGTGTGAATGTGTGGGAGTGTGTGTATCTGAGTGTGAGTGTGAGTGTGTGTAGGTGAGTGTGTGTGTGCGAGAGTTGTCAGTGGAGCACATTGCTCTTCTGATTAACCATTTATTCAGATATTCAGTCCTTTTATCATATTATTCCAAACATAAGGCAAACTTTTTAAACTTTAAATTAAGTTCAAACATCGCTATTCACCTCACATTCACATATCACTCACTCCAACAGTTTAACACTATCCACACAATTAAAATAATCCTTTGATAATTTGATATAACTCCTTATCACGTCTTCGAGACATCTCAAAAGCACTTCACAGGATACACTGTAAAGTGAATTGACTGTATATTTAGTGTCGAAATGCTGTAGCCGACGGCACACAGTCGGGTCCCACAAACAGTCGTGGATTGAGTGACCAAATTATTATTATTATTTAATGAAGGGATAATTACTGCAGGAAAGCAATCTGCCAATCGACTAACCAGCGGGTTCCTACTTACTGCTGGTAAACAGACGCGTGTGTCTGTGTGTGTGTCTGTGTCTATGTGTGTGTGTGTGGGGGGAGTAAGGAAACTTGCCCAAGGTTTCGCCCTGACCCGTGTTGGGGGGGTGGTGTTGGGGGGTGGTGATGGGGGTGGGGGGGTGGGTGGGGGCGAAGGGTCAGGGTTGGTAAGTGAGGGGAAGATTCTACACTCTGAAAAATAAACCTCAATTTCCTTTCAATTTTTCCACTCCACTCACCTTTTCGGCTTTAATTAAAGTCTTAAATACTTTGAAGCTTCTGCACAAAAGTACCATTCGTAATATCTAAATCTGCAAATAATAATAGTGATAATAATAATAATAATCCTTGTATTTGATATAGCGCCTTTATCACTTGGTTGATTGCGCACAGCAGTGTCCCCACACACAGCCGTGGACTGAGTGACCAATTAATATTATTTTTGTCAGTATTACACCCCAGAAAATCTCTCTCTCTCTCTCTCTCTCTCGCACCCCTCCCCCGGACAGACAATAATAATACTCCTTAGGTTTGATAAAATAATCCGTGCATTTGATATCGCGCCTTATCACGTGATTGAGACTTGACAGCGCTTCACAGAACGTACTATCGAGTGTAGTGACTGTGTCCTTTGTGGGCGAAACTGTATATTGAGTGAAAATATAATGACTGTATATTTTCCCCCCAACGACGTCCTCTGGACTCGGTCCTCGCAGGGACAACAGCATTTATTTCTAAGTGTATTTGATGGGAGGGATTATTACCCCCGGAAAAGCGATCCGCCAATCGACTAACGAGTGAGTCCTGACTTACTGCTGGTAAACAGAGGCGTGTGTGTGCGCGCGTGTGCGCGTCTGTCTGTGCGTGTGGGTGTCTGCGTGTCTGTGGGGAGTAAGGAAACTTGACTGAGGTTTCGCCCCGACCTGACCCGACCCGCCCGGGAATCGAACCCCCGAGCAAATAAATAAATAATAAGAATTCGGTCGCTCAATCCGCGACTGTTCGTGGGACGCCGCCGTGCGCAATTGGCTGCCGCGTTTCGCCCACAGATTACACTTAACCGGGTGTCCTGTGAAGCGCTTTGGGACGTCCCAACAACGAGATGAGGCGCTGCATCAAACGCAAAGATTATTATGGCGACGAATAAAATAATCGCTGTCACTCACACCGGGGAGAGCGCCTGTGGGGCGGAAATGTGTGCGTTTACAATGGGGGGTGTGGGGGTTGCGAGCAGGTTGGGGGTGAAAAGGGGGGAAATATCAACAAATTAAGTTCAACCCCAAATTGAAATGGGAGCCTGGATTCCTGCCAACTCAGGCACTTTGTCTCTCTTTCTCGCTCTCTCTCTCTCTCTCTGTAATCGTGTCTGTCGCTTTTTTCTCTTTTCGGAACAGCGACGTGGGAGATCTTTAACGTCCACCTGAACCGAGAACAGACGGGGAGGGGGAGAGAGTGTGAGTGCGTGAGTGAGTGAGTGAGTGAGTAGTGGGTTAGTGAGAGAGTGTGAGACAGAGCGTGCGAGAGACAGAGAGATCAGTGGTCAGTCAGAGTGAGAGTGAGTGAGAGAGAGAGAGAGAGAGACAGAGGTGATCAGCGAGCGAGAGACAAATAGAGAGAGAGGGATAGTCAGTGAGAGAGAGACACATAGAGAGAGAGAGAGACAGAGAGAAGGGGTTGAGATAGAGAGAGAGGGGATGATGGGGAGAAGTGGCTCAAGAGTAAATCACCATTTTTATTGATCGAGGAAGTAGATTTTGTAGTATTTGTTCATCTGCTCGAGGAAGATGAAGGTGAGGACGGTGTGCGGGCCGAGCCGGGCGTAATAGGGCGTGAAGCCTTTCCACAGACTGAAAAAGCCCTCTTGTCGAATAACTTTCACGAGAACCTCCTGCCAGGCAAAGAGGAGAGAACGAAGTCAGCCCGGACTGCAACGACCGGCAAGCGTCTCAGGGCGCTCCGTAAACCCTCGCGACTCACCCTCCGCAGCCCTCGCCGGGTCTCCCGGACGTCCCCAAAGCGCTTCCCAGCACGCACTAGAAAAGTGCGGTGACTGTGTGTCTGTCGTGGGCGAAACGCGGCGGCCAAATGGCGCCTCGCGCAAACAGCCGTGGATGTTATTCTTGCGGTGCGATCCGCCAATCGTGTGGATGTGGGTTTGTGTGTATGTGGGTGTGTGTGTGTGTGTGTGTGGGGGGGGTGGGGTGGGGGTGTATGTGCAGTAAGAAAACTCGCCCAATGTTTCGCCCTGACCCTCCTGGGAATCGAACCCAAGTCCTCTGGCTTGCGAGGCGAGGGGTCTCACCCCTGCACTGTACGACTCCACAACAATTTAACCCCCACTCGCACTGACGCAGGATAATGATGGGGTTCATTCACCTTGATCACGTCACAGGCCAGTTGAGGGGATAATTTCCCCCTTCGCCTCCTCCATCCTCTTATTTACCTGGCGCCCGGGGGAGATTACCGCCTTATATTCCGGACCTAAAGCCCCAGCGGGCTCCGGCCTGCTCCACATCCCCCGCCCCACCCCGGCCCGCCCCACCATCGACGGTTGAGCCTTCAGCCTCTCCGTCTGGAACTCCATCACACAGTCCCTCCGCCTCGCCCGCCCCCTCCCTCACCGCCTTCAAGGCCCGTCTCAAGACCCTCCTCTTCGACCGATCGCGCCTTTGGTCACGCTCCTAACCCCCCACCCTCCCCGCCCTCCACCCCCTCCTGATCCCAACCCCCAGCTCGGGTCCAATTCCCTGACTGTCCAGTGCCTCGGGACGTCTTCCTGACGTGAAGGGCGCTGTGTAAATGCAAGTTGTTGTTGTTGTTGTTGGCGGTGGTGATGGTGATGGTGAGGTGGGCGGAAGCCCTGGGACTCACCAGCCCGTTCTTGTACTCTGGTTTTCCATCAATCATCTTCATGTTCTGAATCCTGCGAAAACACGGCCGAGTTATTAACGACGACAATAATAATCCTTGCATTTGATATAGCGCCTTATCACGTCGTCGGAGCGCTTTACAGGATACACTGTGAAGTGCAGTGACTGTGCGTTTTGTGGGCGAAACACGGCAGCCAATTGCGCCCAGCAGACGGCGTCTCTGACAACCTAACAACCCCCAGGGCTGCATTGGAGCATCAGCTTAGACTGTGTGATTCCATGTCCTGACCTGGGGGCTTGAACCCAAACCTTCTGACTCAGAGACGAGAGAGAGAGAGAGAGAGAGAGAGAGAGAGAGGATACCACGAGCGAGACACACACTGAGCCGGGCTCTCTCTCTCACACACACACACACACACACACACACACAGAGCCGGGCTGACACACACTGAATTATTACGGCTGTTGATCGATCTTCACTCACCTGGTTTTTACGATGTCTACCGGCATGGAGGCCGCTGTGGTAACCAGCCCGCTGATCATACTGGCGCAGAAATGGCACAAGATGTTATCGGAAAAGTAACCTGCGGTGAAACACAACCGAGACAGCGAGACAAGTCACGTCACACGCCAAAAAGGAAACGTCACATGCCCGGGAAAAGACTCTCTCGATAATAATAATAATAATCCTTGCATTGATACCTTATCACGTCGTTGAGTCGTCTCAAAGCGCTTCACGGGTTATATTATCAACAGGAGTGACTGTCTAGTTTGTAGGCGAAACCCAGCAGCCAATTCCTCACAGCAGTGTCGCACGCACAGTCGTGGATTGAGTGACCAATTTTTTATTTTAACATGGAGGTTTGTTAGGTCAGGGGATCAAGGGATACGGGGCCAAGGCGGGCAATTGGAGTTGGGGTACAGATCAGTCATGATCTTATAGAATGGCAGAACAGGCTCGAGGGACTGAATGGCCTCCTCCTGTTCCTAACGTTCCTATTTCCCATAAACAGTCACGTGTGAGCAAATTATCATTATTATTTTTGGAAGGGATTTATTACCCCGGAAAGAGATCGGCCAATCGATCAAAAAGCGGGTTCCTACTTACTGCCGGGTAAACAGAGGCGCGTGTGTGTGTGTGGAATAAGGAAACTTGCCTAAGGTTTAAACCCAGGTCCTCTCGCTCGCGATGCGAGTGCTCTAACCAGTACACTACAGGACTCCTGTCTCTGTGTGTCTGTCTGTTTTAAACCCAATCCTCACCTGTAGTGAGCAGGAACTGCTTGGTTTGGGAGTACGAAGCCAGCTGGGCTGCGTTTACCACGACAGCTCTGGCCATCGTCGGGACACAACCCTGAAAGGAAGGAACGGGCATGTTGACACCTCATCCTGCACCAAACGCATCAACACTCAGCTCCTACCCAGTGCCTGGCACTCTCGTCTGACTCTGGTCCCCGCACTTTAATATTAATCATAATAATCCTCGCATTTGACCCGGCGCCTGATCACGTCTTTGAGACGTCTCACAGGATACACTGTAAAGTGCAGTGACTGTGTGTTCTGTGGGCGAAACACGGCAGCCAATTGCCCACAGCAGTGTTGTTATTATTTGAAGGGATTATTACCCCTGGAAAAGCGATCCGCCAATCGACCAACCAATGGGTTCCTACTGACTGCTGGTAAACAGAGGCTTGTGTGTGTGTGTGTGTGTGTGTGTGGGGAGGTGTGTGTGTGGGTGGGTGTATGTGTGTGTGTCTGTAGGAGGAGTAAGGAAACTTGCCCAAGGTTTCGCCCCAACCCGCCCAGGAATCAAACCCAAGTCCTCGCTTGTGAGGCGAGGGCTCTAACCACTGCACTACAGGACTCTCTACATGCCTTGACTAGCGCCTGAGACTGGGGCCTGGGATCAGCAGGGGTGGAGGGTGGGGGTAGGAGGGTGACCGAAGGTACGATCGGTTCGAAGAGGAGGGTCTTGAGACGGGGCCTTGAAGGAGGAGAGGGGGGGGCCGAGGGACTGTGTGATGGAGTTCCGGAGGGCGGGGGGGGGGGGGGATGGAGTGCAGAGAGGTTGAAGGCTGGTACCTACCCGCCACAGGGTGGTCACTCCTTCCTCACGGCTGATGCGTAGGAGTGCATTGAACACATTGGTGTAACCCCGTCGCTGTTCCACCGGCATCCTGAGGGGGGCAGCAAAAGCAACATCATCAACAACGACAACAACATATTACGTTTACACGGCGTCTTTCACGTCGGGAGGATGTCCCAAGACACTGGGAAGTCAGGGGTTTTGGACCCCAGCTGGGGGTTGGGATCAGGAGGGGGTGGAGGGCAGGGAGGGTGGGGAGGTAGGAGGGTGGGGGGTGGGAGGGGGGGGGGGTAGGAGGGTGATCGAAGGTCTTAAGATGGGCCTTGAAGGAGGCAAGGAAGGGGGAGAGACGAAATGACTGGGGGTTGACCCCCTCCCTTCCTCTCTCCCTCATTCCTTCACTTACTTGATTCACTCCCCCACTGACTCACTCACTCGCTCACTGACCTGAAGGTGGGGAGGGAGGGGGCGAGGCCGAGGGATTGAGGGAGAGCGTGACAAGAGTTTCGGGGCGTCGTGGCTGAAGGGAATGAGGGACAAACAGGAGACCGGAGCCAGCCGAGCGGAGGCAGCGGGTGATTCACTCACTCTCACACAGTCACTCGCACATGCTCACTCATACATTCTCACTCATTCACAAACTCACTCATTCTCACACTCACTCACACACACACATACATTCTCACTCACACACACTCACACAAACACACAAACACACTCACTCACCCACACACACACTCACACACACTCACTCACTCAGTCACTCAGTCACTCACTCACACACACTCACTCATTCACTCATTCACTCACTCACATTCTCACTCACTCTCACTGACTCGCACAATCACTCAGTCTCACTCATACACATTCTCACTCACACACTCACCCAATCACATACACACACTCACTCACTCACTCTCACTCACTCACTCACAATCACACCCTCACAACCTCCCTAACTCGCTCACTCCCTCACTTAAGTGTCACCAACAGACCGACCAACCATCCACTCACTGACTCCCTCCCTCTCTCCCTCCCTCACACACTACCTCCATCCCTCACCTGCCGTCAGATGTCATCCTGATGAGCGAGACCTCGGCTGGGGTCCCCACGAAGGCTCCCACGGCCCCCGCCGACATTCCGATCAGGGCCTTCATGGCGAAGTTGGGGGGCGTCCCGTCGGGTTTGGTGAACTTCTCAAAGAGGATGGTGTAGATTCCCAGCCGGGTGGTGGTGTAGGTGGCCTGACGCAGGAGACCCGCAGAGAGGCTGTGCCGAGAGAGGGAGGGAGGGGGAGAGAGTGGGGGGGGGGAGAGAAAGAGGGAGAGATGGTCAGTGAGAGACGAGAGATAGAGGTGGGGGGAGAGAGAGAGAGAGAGGGGGGGAGGTGGTCAGTGAGGGGGAGAGACAGTGAGAGGGAGAGAGAGTTGGGTGTCAGTGAGAGAAAGAGAGAGAGGCGGTCAGTGAAGGGGAGAGAGAGAGAAAGAGGCAGTGAGAGAGAGAGAGAGAGTGAGCGAGAGAGGAAGAGAGAGAAACAGAGAGGCAGTCAGTGAGAGAGAAAGGGGGAAAGACAGTGAGAGGGGGAAAGAGAGAGAGAGAGAGACAGACAAATTGCTCCCATCTCGCAGGGTAGTGTTCCAGAGCGCTGCTCAGCCCCCCCACCCCCCCCTCACCCCGCCACCACCTCGGTGACTTACACAGAAACAGGAGGCCATTCAGCCCCTTGAGCCTGTTCCGCTGTTCTATAAGATCATGGCTGATCTGTCCCAGAACTCCCAATTACCTGCCTTTGCCCTACTTCCCTTGATACCCTGACCTTACAAACATCTATTGGGGGGCGGAGGGAGAGAGGAAGAGGTGGGGGAGAAAGGATATTGAGGGGAAAGGGAAAGAGGAGAGGAGAGAGGGAGAGAGAGAGAGAGAGAGAGAGATGGCTGATCTGCATCTCAACTCCAAATACCCGCCGTTATCCCTTGATACCCTGACCTACCAAACCTCTCTCTCCCCGTCTCAGTCTTACCCGGTGTAGATGCCGCTGATGCCCTCGGATCTCAGGATGGTGCCCACCGCGTGGAAGCTGGTCTTGTATTCCTTGGTGCGTCCCCCCTGGCCGCTCAGCTGCATCCGGTTCTTCACCAGGTCGAGCGGCTGAACGAAAAACGTGGCACCCATCCTATGAGAAAAGCCATCGGTTAGTCACAGAGTCACGCTCCCATCTTTATCATGGAGTCCCCGTGGCTCAGGGGTTAGGGCCCTCGCCTCGCAAGCGAGAGGACCTGGGTTTCGATTCCCGGGCGGATCAGGGCGAAACTTTCCTTAGTCCACACACACGCCTACGTTTACCGAGCAGTAAGTGGGAACCCGCTTGTCAGTGAATGGATTGGCGGAGTGCTTTCCGTGGATAATAATCGCTCCAAAAAAAAAAAAGGAGCAAGGCGGAGGGATAGAAGGACAGGGTTCCAGAGTTGCGGTGCGTAGTGGCTGAAAGCACGGCTACCTATGGCGGGGTGGAGGGCATGATAATAATAATAATAATCCTTGCATTTTGATATAGCGCTTTTCACGTCGGGAGAGGACGTCCCAAAGCGCTTCACAGAACACACTGTAAAGTGAATTGACTGTATATTTGTAGGCGAACGCGGCAGCCAATTGCGCACAGCAATGTCCCACAAACAGTCGTAGATTGAAAATGACCAATTTATTATTGTTTTTGGTTTTGGAGGGATTATTATTAGGCTCTGTGTGGAGTAAGGAAACTTGCCCAAGGTTTCGCCCTCTGCCTGGGATTGAACTCAGGTCTCTCGCTCACAAAGCGAGTGCTCTAACCACTGAGCTACAGGACTCCATGGGACAAGCAGGAGGCCCGGAGCAGGTCGGGCGGAGGCAGAGGGTAGTGGGTTGAGGAGTAAGCCGGTTGGAGAGGTGGGGAGGTGCATCATGTAAGCAGGGTGCGTCCCTCCGGGGAGAAGGTTCCGACAATTTATCTCTGGGATTCCCGTGTGTCGGTGGGATACATGGAATTCTCAGTTGGGTTGGGAGACTCTTAAGCAATGGTGATGGGTTTGGTTTCCCTGTGTGTCGGACACCCGGCTGAGCAAAAAAAAACAACTTGGGTTATATATTATACAGCACCCCTCACTCAGGGTAGCGTCTCATAGGTAAGTGACCACAGGCCACGGTCGAAGAGGAATCACTAATTCATTAATTAATCACCTAAATCGTACACACAATCATCCTTGCACTTGACACAGCGCCTTATCACGTCTACGAGACGTCGCCAAGCGCTTCACAGAATATAGTGAAAATTGGAGTCCTGTAGCTCAGTGGTTAGAGCACTCGCTTTGCGAGTGAGAGACTTGAGTTCAATCCCAGGCAGAGGGCGAAACCTTGGGCAAGTTTCCTTACTCCACACAGAGCCTAATAATAATCCTCCAAAACCAAACACAATAATAAATTGGTCATTTTCAATCCACGACTGTTTGTGGGACATTGCTGTGCGCAATCGGCTGCCGCGTTCGCCCACAAATATACAGTCGATTCACTTTACAGTGTGTTCTGTGAAGTGCTTTGGGACGTCCTCCCGACGTGAAAAGCGCTATATCAAATGCAAGGATTATTATTATTATAAGTGCGGCGACTGTACACTGTGCGGGCGAAACGCGGCAGACAATTGCTCCCACACACAGCCGTGGATTGAGTGGATTATAATTCTCACAAAAGCGATCTGCCTATCGAATAACAACCAGGTTCCTATTTACTTAACGCGGGTCAACAGAGGCGTGCGTGTGGAGTACGGAAACTTGCCCAAGGTTTCACCCGGCCGGGAATCAAACCCCGATCCTCTGGCTTGCGAGGTGAGGGCGGTAACCACTGCCCGACTCCACAACACACCACTAACACTGTACTAGATCTGACCCGCTTTGATGTCTCGGGCTGGCTTCACGTCAATAATAATAATAATAATAATCCTTGCATTTTGATACAGCGCTTTTCACGTCAGGAGAACGTCCCAAAGTGCTTCACAGAACACACTGTAAAGTGAATTGACTGTATATTTGTGGGCGAACGCGGCGGCCGATGGCGCACAACAATGTCCCACAAACAGTCGTGGATTGAAAATGACCAATTTATTATTGTTTTTGGTTTGGGAGGGATTATTATTTTGTGTATATTGTGTGTATATTGTTAAGTTGGAGGAATCGGATGACTGGGATTTTATTGTGTTGTGTGTGTGTGGGGGGGGGGGGGGTGGGGGGGAGCAGTGACCTTTATTCAACAAGTGACCTTGTGGAAGGGATTATGTCAGCGCCAAATCAAACAGAGACACAAAGCAATGCGATATAACGCTCTGTAAGAAACAGGCCCTCACTTATCTCCAAATCGTCTACCCTTTCTGATTGAACGAGGCACACGTTTCGGGCCCAACCGTCTCGCTGTTCAGGCGGACGCGAACAGATCCTTTTCTGTTCTCTCTCTCTCTCTCTCTCTCTCTCGAGGATTATTATTACTATTAATCTGCAACGCAACATTTAATGATAATAACGATCCTTGCACGTGACACGGCTCCTCGTCGCGTCTTCGGGACTTCTCAAAGCGCTTCACAGGATACTGCTGCGTAGCGAATTGACGGGTGTTTTGCGGGCGAAACGCGGCAGCCGATTGCGAGGATTGAGTGACCAATTTATTATTAACGTTCGTTTAATTTTTTTTTTTGGGGGGGGGGGATGGAGGGATTATTCCCCCGGAAAAACGACTTGTTAAACGGGTAACGCGCGGGTTCCTACTTACTTACTGCTGGGTAAACAGAAGCTCCTGTTAACCGTTGCCGCAGCCAGAGTCCTGACAGGCTCCCCCCGCGTTAACTGAAGAAGCTACAGGTTAAACCGTGCGTAACAAAAAGCTTCTTCATTAGTAAGGGCGGCTGGTTTATAAACCAGGACACCAGCTCCTGAAATAAACTCACTCACAGGCTCAGGGGACCAAGTGATACGGGGCAAAAGGTGAGTAATAATAATAATAATCCTTGCATTTGATATAGCGCTTTTCACGTCGGGAGAGGACGTCCCAAAGCGCTTCACAGAACACACTGTAAAGTGAATTGACTGTATATTTGCGGGCGAACGCGGCAGCCGATTGCGCGCAGCGGTGTCCCACAAAACAGATTGAAGTGACCGAATTATTATCATTATTCTACAGGAATCGTTACCGCCCAAAAAGCAGTCGGCCACAGGACTCGGCATTATTGCAGCAAAACGCTCGCAAGTCCCATCTGTATTGATCGTATGATTGCGATCTACGCATAAGTCGTACATCTGCCTAAGTCGTACATAACTCATACTTATGGTAAGGCAGGTTACAGGGCAGGACAGGTTTACTGTATAATTATAATAATGTACAGAGTATCGCGGTTACCCACTCAGGGCCTCTGCCCAGTAACACTATAATGGTAATAATCTCACAGTCGGGTCTCAGCGACATTAATATGATAATAATAATTATTATATAGCCCAGAAGGAGGCCGTTCGGCCCATCGTGTCTGTGCCGACTCTTTGAAAAAAGCTGTCCACTCCCCCGCTCTCTCCCCACAGCCCCGATCAACCCCACTCCCCCGCTCTCTCCCCACAGCCCCGATCAACCCCACTCCCCCCCTCTCCCCCCATAGCCCCGATCAACCCCACTCCCCCGCTCTCTCCCCACAGCCCTGATCAACCCCACTCCCCCGCTCTCCCCCCATAGCCCCGATCAACCCCACTCCCCGCTCTCTCCCCACAGCCCCGATCAACCCCACTCCCCCGCTCTCTCCCCACAGCCCCGATCAACCCCACTCCCCCGCACTCTCCCCATAGCCCCAATCAACCCCACTCCCCCCCTCTCTCCCCATAGCCCCGATCAACCCCACTCCCCCCCTCTCTCCCCATAGCCCCGATCAACCCCACTCCCCCGCTCTCTCCCCATAGCCCTGATCAACCCCACTCCCCCGCTCTCCCCATAGCCCCGATCAACCCCACTCCCCCGCTCTCTCCCCATAGCCCTGATCAACCACTCCCCCGCGCTCTCCCCATAGCGCTGCAAACTTGTCCTTCCCAAATAATTATCTACTTCTCTCTTAAAAGCTGTTATGGAAGCGGTTCCCACCGGCCTTTCAGGCAATGCATTCCAGACCCCAACAACTCGCTGTGAAAGCATTTCCCCCCCTCCCCCCCCCTCCCCTCTGTTTCTTTTGACAACTATTTTAACTCGGTGCCCTCGGGTTACCGACCCACCCGCCAGCGGGACTAGTTTCTCCTCGTCCACCCTATCGAATCCCCTCATCATCTTGAAAACCTCTATTAAGTCTCCTCTTAACCTTCTCTGCTCCGAGGAGAATAATCCTCGCTTCTCTCGCCTCTCCTGATCCTCTCCTGTTGGATTCCATATTGGATCGTTCAGTGGCAAGCGAAGCAGCAACGGGTAACGTAAATAAAGTAAAGAATATCTCAGTATAATGTGGGGTGACGGTTACCCAGCCAGGCCTGAGACAAGTAACAATACAATTACTACCGCACATACACCGTATGTACGCATATCAATTATATAAATAGAATAACTATGATAATACTGTTACTAAAAATAAGGTATATGTCAGTATATTGTGAGCCCAGTACCACTATCACAGCACTAATGTAAGTGCTCAGTGAATACTAATATGGTAATCATTATTAATAATAATAAAGTATGTCAGTACAATGTGAGGTCAGTAATACTATTAATATAATAATCGCTCAGAGATTATTACACTGATAGGATAACAAAAATAATGTAGAATATATAATATAACCATAATAATGTAGAATATATAATATAATAGTGTAATAAGTTATTATTAATAATAAAGTATGTCAGTACAATGTGAGGTCAGTAATACTATCACTGTAATAATCTCAGAAAACACTGATACAATAATAATGCAGAATATATAACATAACAATAATAATATAGACTATAATAAATCATAATACAGTAACAAAAATAATGTGGAACATAACATAATAATCATTAATAAAGTATGTCAGTGCAATGTGAGGTCAGTGACACTATCACTATAATAATAACCTCTCAGTGAGCGCTGACACAGTGACAATAATAATGTAGAATATATCAAATAACAATAATAGTTTAGATAATATAATTACAATTATTATTAATTATAAAGTGCATGTCAGTATAATGTGAGGTCAGTGACAGTCTCTCTATAGTAACCTCTCAGTGAAGCTCTGATACAATGACAATAATGGAGAATATAATAATATAACATAACAATAATATATTTGGAATATATTAATATGATAATAATAATGTAATTAATAATAAAGTACATGTCAGTATAATGTGAGGTCAGCGACAATCTCCCTATAATAACCTCTCAATGAAGCTCTAATGACAACAATAATATAGAATATTAATATAATATAACAATAATACATTTGGAATATATTAATATAATAATTTAATTAATAATAAAGTGCAGTGTCAGTATAATGTGAGGTCAGCGACAATCTCCCTATAGTCACCTCTCAGTGAAGCTCCAATGACAACAATAATATGGAATATAATAACATAATATAACAATAATGTATTTGGAATATATTAATATGATAATAATGTCATTAATTAACAATAAAGTGCAGTGTGAGGGGAGCGACAGTCCCCCGACAGTAACCGCTCAGTGAGCGCTGATACAGTGACAATAGTAATGTAGAAGATAACAATAATATATTTGGAATATATTAATATAATAATAATAGTAATGTAATTAATAATAAAGTGCAGTGTCAGTGCGGTGTGAGGTCAGCGACAATCTCCCTATAGTCACCTCTCAGTGAAGCTCCGATGACAAAAATAATATGGAATATAATAAAATAACAATATATTTATAATATGGAATATAATAATATAACATAATAATATATTTATAATAATATGGAATATAATATGACAATCACATATTTATAATAATATGGAATATAATAATATAATGTAACAATAATAAATTTATAATATGGAATATAATAATATAACATAATAATATATTTATAATATGGAATATAATAATAGAACAATAATAAATTTATAATAATATGGAATACAATAATAGAACAATATATTTGTAATAATATGGAATATAATAAGACAACAACAACAATATATTTATAATATGGAATATAATAATATAACATAATAATATATTTGTAATAATATGGAATATAATAAGACAACAACAACAATATATTTGTAATAATATGGAATATAATAAGACAACAACAACAATATATTTGTAATAATATGGAATATAATAAGACAACAACAATATATTTGTAATAATATGGAATATAATAAGACCACAACAACAATATATTTGGAACGTATGAATTTGATGATAATAATAATAATAATACTTAATAGTAATAATGACAGTGTTGGTGCCGAGTGATGCGGTCGGTGTGTGCGGTGTGAGGGGAGGGAGGGAGGGAGGGAGGGAGCGGCCGTGCCCGCCCGCCCGGGGAGGGCTCACCCGGCCAGGCCGCCGAACAGGAACTTGACGCCTTTGGACGACGTCCTCCTTCGCTCCGGCGCCGCCATCACTGTCCTCTCTCTTTCGCGCTCACAGCCCCCGCGAGCGGCGGCGGCGTCACCCCGCAAGGTCACCGCCGCGCCGGCTGCGTCGCCGCCGCGCTGACGTCGCACGCTCAGCCCCGCCCCCTCCTCCTCCTCCTCCATGGGGGGGAGGGGGGAGGAATCAGCGTCGCCGCCCGCGCTGACGTCGCACGCTCAGCCCCGCCCCCTCCTCCTCCATGGGGGGAGGGGGGAGGAATCAGCGTCGCCGCCGCGCTGACGTCGCACGCTCAGCCCCGCCCCCTCCTCCTCCATGGGGGAGGGGGAGGAATCAGCGTCGCCGCCGCGCTGACGTCGCACGCTCAGCCCCGCCCCTCCTCCTCCATGGGGGGAGGGGGGAGGAATCAGCGTCACCGCCGCGCTGACGTCACACGTTCAACCCCGCCCCTCCTCCTCCGTGGTGGGGAGGGGGAGGAATCAACCCCGCGCTGACGTCACCGCCGCGCTGACGTCGCACGCTCAGCCCCGCCCCCTCCTCCTCCATGGGGGAGGGGGAGGAATCAGCGTCACCGCCGCGCTGACGTCGCACGCTCAGCCCCGCCTCCTGGGGGGAGGGGGGAATTGGCTGCGCATGCGCTCTCGCCTCCTCATGGACCTGACCACATAAACACTGAATAATAATAATTATTGTTGTACAATAATAACTGATATTTACAGCTCTCAGTGATTATTATTATATATTATTACATAATTATTATTGTACAATAACAACTGATATTTACAGCTCTCAGTGATTATTATTATATTATTACATAATTATTATTGTACAATAACAACTGATATTTACAGCTCTCAGTGATTATTATTACACACTCTATAATAATTATTGTTGTACAGTGATACACTCTCAGCTCCTGGAGTGAAAGGCTCTTTGTAAATCGTTTGGGGTCATCCTGTAATGTGTCCTTCTCTGACCCCCTCCAGTCCTGAGGGTCACAGTCGCCAATGGCATTCCGACCATAATAATAATAATAATAATCCTTGCATTTGATATAGCGCTTTTCCCGTCGGGAGGACGTCCCAAAGCGCTTCACAGAACACACTGTAAAGTGAATCGACTGTATATTTGTGGGCGAACGCGGCAGCCAATTGCGCACAGCAATGTCCCACAAACAGTCGTAGATTGGAAATGACCAATTTATTATTGTTTTTGGTTTTGGAGGATTATTATTAGGCTCTGTGTGGAGTAAGGAAACTTGCCCGAGGTTTCGCCCTCTGCCTGGAATTGAACTCAGGTCTCTCACTTGCAAAGCGAGTGCTCAACCACTGAGCTACAGGACTCCACTGTGACCATCTGTGATCAGGGCTCTCCCTCTGCCTCCTCGACCTCCTCGACCCATCCGCCGCCTTCGACACTGTCCACCACTCCATCCTCGCACACCGCCCCTCCGCTTCGCTTAATCTTCGCGGACCTGCCCTTGTCATGGCTCGATTCCTCTCTCTCGCACCGTCTCTACTTTGTTGCCTCTGATGGTTTCTCCTCCGGCCCCCGCACTGTCACGTCTGTCGTCCCCCAGGGCTCTGTCCTCGGTCCCCTCCTCTTCACCCTCTACATGGCCCCCCCTCGGTGACATCATCCGCAGACATGGGGTCAACTGCCACATGTATGCGGATGACACCCAACTCTATCTTTCTGCCTCCACCGTCAACTCCAGGACCACCGCTGTCCTGACAGACTGTCTGTCGGACATCAAGTCCTGGATGAGGGAAAATTTCCTACAGTTGAATTTGAACAAGACTGAGGTCCTCCTGATTGGCTCACGCCAGCGCCTCCGCACCTCAGGCTCTGGCAGCCTCAACCTCCATGGTGTACACTACAACTCACCAAAGCCAGTCAGGAACCTGGGAGCTTTGTTCGACCCTCAACTGTCTTTTCTCCCCCACATTCAAGCCATGACCCTCTCTGCCTTCCCTCACCTCAGTAACATCGCCCGACTCCGCCACTACCTCACCCCTCAGGCCACTGAAACTCTTGTTCATGGCTTCATCACCTCCAGGCTCCACTATGCTCGTCGGCCTTCCCAATTCCTCCCTCCATGGCCTCGCCCCACCCTACCTCTGTGACCTCCTAACCCCCTACCAACCCGCCTGCTCCCTCCGCTCAGCCGGCTCTGGCCTGCTCCATGTCCCCCGACCCACCCACCCCACCATTAGCGGGAGAGCCTTCAGCCACTCTGCCCACAACCTCTGGAATTCCATCCCCCAGTCACTCTGCCTCCTTAGCCTCCTTCAAGTCCCGCCTCAAGACCCTCCTTTTTGTCCATGCCATCGGCCGCCCCCCTTCCCCTCCCCTCCTCCCCTGACCCCCAGCTCGGGTCTGAAATGCTGTCACTGTCCAGCGCCTCGGGACGTCCTCCCCGATGTGAGAGGCACTACACACATGTAATCTTGTTGATGTTGTAATATGGTCAGTCCATGGTCAATTGTTTTATGAATGGCAGAAAAAAGGCGGGAATGTGCGCCCTCGCTCTGGACCGACATCATCCAATCAGTGGGCCTCGCTCGGGACCCTCCCCACCAATCAGAGGCCAGAGGGTCACGGCCCCGGTCCCCCCCGATCCCCCCCCCACCCCCCCGCAGCGAGGTCACAATGGAGCCGAAGCCGATTGGACCTCCCCGCGCGGGTGGGAAGGCGTTGCCGTGGCAACCGGGGGACACAGGTCGAAAGTATCAGTTCGAAAGAGGCGGGAAAAGCCGTCCCTCGATGGGGGGACACCCGGAGCCCATCGGACCCCAGACCCTGTGAAGTTTCGGGGTTTCCCCGCTTAGTCCATTCAGCCTCCAACAAAGGTGACGACATGGCGGGTGGGGGGGGGGAGGGGGTTGGGGTGGAGGGGCGGGGGGTGTGGGGTGGGGGTTGCGATGTGGTGGAGGGGTCAGGGGTCTCTCTTGCTCTCTTGCTGAGATAGTTACACGTTCCGCTCGCAAAACATACAGTCACTACGCTTCGCGGCGTGTCCTGTGAGGCCCTTCGAGAGGTCTCAGGCCCCGCGCCGACGCAATTCGCTGCTGTTGCGCGGGCTCGCACCATCACTCAATCCCACCCCCAAAATAAACAGTCACTACACTTTACACGAAAGGGCCGCGGAGCGCTTTGAGACGTCTCGAAGACTCGATAGGGGGCACTGCGTCAAACCACCCCCCGACTTCTCTGCCTCCTCCAGACTTTATAACATCAGCTCCTTCACAAAGTGACCCAACGCCCCCCAAAAAGTCGCCACAAGATGGACATGTACCGCTCTCCTAAGACGAAGAACTATTTTAGAGACAATAAGACTAAGATTGGTGAGTCCTTTCTGCTGCGTTGGGGGTTTTGTTGTAAGACCCAAATTAAGGTTCTTCTGTCGTCGGGAGGTTTTGACGTCGAGTCCTCAGTCGCTCAGTGGTTACAGCCCTCGCACTCGCCAGCGGGCGAGAGGACCCGGGTTCGAATCCCGGAGGTGGGGTCCGGGCGAAACGTTGGGGGCACGTTTCCTTATACGCACACCCACAAACACGCGCCCGCACACGCGCCCGCGCGCGCCTCTGTGGGCCAGCGGTAAGCGAGCTTGTTACTCGATCACCTTCCCGGGGTTAATAACAATCCCTTCAAATAAAAAATAAAGATAAATTGGTCACTTCAATCCACGGCTGTTGGTGGTGGGGGGGGGGGCTCTGCCGTGCGCGCGATTGGCGGCCGCGTTTCGCCCCCAAAACACAGACAGGTCACTACACGCCGCAGAATATCCCGTGAAGCAGTTTGAGATGCGTCGACGATGTGATTGCAGCGCTATATCAAGTGCAAGGCTGATTATTAATTATTATTATTATTATTATTATTATTATTATTATACCCCCTCCCTCCTGTGCTCTAATCTGTCCAGATTTTGTCCTCGTTTGGAGAGAGAGCAATGATATGGATGATTCGCTGAGCGGAGAAGGCAATGCGCAAGACTTCAACACTCGCAGAGCGAAGAGTGGGATGACCAACCGACTGCATAAAATGTTCTGGAGGAAAACCATCGTGGAAACGTTGCAGAAGGCCAGCCTCCTTGTTGAGAGGGTAGAATCTGTTTCAGATGCCCTTCTCTCATTCCCCCCCCCCCCCACCATTCCCTCTTTCCCTCCCTCCCTCCCTCCCCTCCCTCCCTCCCTCTCTCACGCTCTCCCTCCCTCGGTCTCTCTCTCTCTCTCTCTCTCCATCTCTGACTCCCTTCTTCTTTCCCTCAACACACACTAGGAATTGAGTCCACGTCACAGTCAACAGATCCTCCGAACAACCATCTTCCTCTGTATCCCTCCCTCCCTCCTTCCTCAACTGCTCCAACCCCCCTCCCACCTCCTCACAAAATACTACCCTTTCAGAATCTCACCCCCACTAAACCCCGTCCCCCCCTCACCCCCAGCCCTCGCCAGCCCCCACCGGCTCCCCATCACCCCCACTAAACCCCATCCCCCCCATCACCCCCAGCCCTCGCCATCCTCCACTGGCTCCCCATCACCCCCACTAAACCCCGTCCCCCATCACCCCAGCCCTCGCCAGCCCCACTGGCTCCCTATCACCCCCACTAAACCCCGTCCCCATCACCCCAGCCCTCGCCATCCTCCACTGGCTCCCCATCACCCCCACTAAACCCCGTCCCCCCATCACCCCCAGCCCTCGCCAGCCCCCACTGGCTCCCCATCACCCCCACTAAACCCCGTCACCCCATCACCCCAGCCCTCACCAGCCCCCACTGGCTCCCTATCACCGAACGGATCAATTTCGAGCTCCTCTCGTTCCTCTACAAATCCCTTCACCCCCTGACACCCCCCCCTCCCCGACCTACTCACCCCCAACCCGTGCTTTCAGTCACTACCTCCCGAAACTCTGTCTCTTTCTCCCTCGATCCTCAATCCCGCCTCGTCCCCTCCTTCCCTTCTTATAGATCACGACTGAAGACCTTCAGTCGTTGTTGTTGTTGTGGTGGTTGTAGTTGTTGTTGTAATCTAATGATATAGAGGAACAGGAAACATGTCGGACGCTCCTATTTCTATGTTACTGGACGT